GTTGGAACATTCTTTTGGAGCATCTTACACTGAAGACGTGGTCATTACCCAGCTGGGGATTTTAGCACGTCCATTAGCCAGCCTGGTTAACAAGTCACTTGAGAGGGCCACTTCCCGAGTGACTGGGAAACGGACATCGTCAAACCCATTTTAAAGGGGGTGACAGATATCCCACTTCGAACTACAAGCCAGTGAGCTTACTGCCGACAGTAATCAAGGTAGTGGAAAAAGTGATTCACAACAAACTGACCAGTCATTTTTTAACAAACAAAAAACCTGGTGGAAACCCAGCACGGAATCTCACGGGTTAGGTTCTGCCTAACAAATTTGTTGGCCTAACTAAATGCAGTAACCAATGGGCATGACAGGGGCGAACTGGTTGAAGTATGCTATCCAGATTTCAGGAAGGCCTTCGACTTCGTGAGCCACGACCTACTCCTGCGGAAAATATCGTGGTTGGTAATACACCCGGAACTACTAAACTGAATCCGGACTTATTTTGTGGGCAGCACCTTCCAAGTCAGTGTAGATGGGCAGTTTTTTGAGGGGGGTCAAGTCCAGAGTGGCATGGCTCAAAGCTGCGTTCTTGGACCGTTACTGTTCTTGGCCTTCATCAAAGATCTGCAGGATGTGTGGTAAACGCACTCTTCTTGTTCGCCGACGATGTGAAAATATCAGCCTTTCCTGAGGATGAAAGTTCAGTTCAGTTTGTACAACTATTTACCACGCATATTCGTGCGCTGGTTTTGGTTGCTATCTTTTGGCTTCCCATTTGGATGAAGGGTAGGAGAAAGACAGGAAGATTGAAAGTGGAGTTGAACAGAAAATAGAGAAGTTCAGTGCTCTAAGGTTGCAAAAACACTGAGAAGATGCACGAACGCCACTGTTTAAGACATCCAGCCATATCACTCAGTGTATCTAACCATCGGGCACGATCATCTCGGGGTCTCCAGCCAGGGAGCCTAACGAGAACTATGTGACCCAGCCCTCTGGTTAGGAATTTCATACCCTCGTCCCAGGTCTTAGCTTGGCCACCCTTGACTTTCTTGCACCTACTACTTGCCTCGGTGAACATCGCTCGCCGTGGCAATCTATCTGGTGATATGCGTAACACATGACCCAACCAACGTAATCTATGGAGGTCGAGCGCTTGCTCCAGTGGGCGACCGCCGATGCCCAAAACTCTGCCCCCAAACCTCAGCATTGTCCATCCGGCTACCCCACGAGATTCGTGCAATGCTGCGTAGACAGCGATGTTCAAACACCGACAGTCTATCTATCGATGATCTGACGATGAAAGGATGCAACGTGACATGAACAAGTTATAAGCATGGGCTAAGGAATGAAGCCTACCTCTGAACAGCAGAAAATGTCAGCTCATACGCATGAGAGAGCCGGTTGACAGTCTTCGGTACCTGGGAATATCTGAAGATGAGGTAATCAAACTAACCACAAAGGTCACTGATCTTGGAAGTATCACAAATTCCCCGTTCTGTTCGTCACCACAGTGCTCCATAGCAGCTCACGGAGCAAATTCAGCACTGTACAAGCTGTGTAGAACGGTGTCGTTTAGAGACTGGGAGATACTTGTCTGTTTGTATAAAGCTTTTGTACGACCACACTTGGAGTATTATGTCTAGGCGTGGTCATCGGTCCTAGTGAGTGACGAATTCAGAAGGTTCAACGGCGCTTCACGCTGATGTTCCCCCTCCTCAGGGAACTGAATTACACTGAAAGGCCGCAAGTTCTGGGTTTGTTTTCCCTCGAGCGCCGGCTACTGAGAGGTGGCCTGATCGAAACCTTCAAAACTCCGAAGAGATATGCTCAGGGTACAGACAATTCTTTGAGCTAGAGGGGACCAGGCAAGACGGGACCACATCCTAAAACTGAGAAAATCCAGAAGGTACTGAACAATTAGAGCCAACTTCTTCTCATTGTGTATGATCAATAGCTGGAACAAGCTGACGAACGAGATAATCGTCTGCGGCAGCATAAAGACCCTCAAAAAGGTGCTCAATGCATCTCGGGTACACTGTTTCCTAAGTGACCTTAGCAACCGCATCAAAAGGGAGCGCTAACAGGCAAGCCTCCAGTCCCGTTGCAACATCACCTCAACCACTCATCTCTTTTATCCTCAAGGTATCCCTTCCCTCTTCCACATCCCACAAGTAATCGTTGTTTTTAACACACGTTTTTGCTTATGGGTCTACTGAGTGGGAGGGATATAAGCTGTCGCATCGTCCCGGAAATGATCTCTGATATTGTTCACTTGCCCATATGACAATCAGAAGTGCAATCCTTATGCAGGTCTTATATTGAGAACACCTAGAACACCAACGATTTTCGAAGCACCGTGTAACCCACCTGATGCAAGAAACTGGATTCTTTCTGGCTTTGTCGCGATTCCTGTGTCCTGTCCTGCCTTGTCCTGCATTAGAAACCGGCACAAATACTTATCGATATGATCATCGTATAATCCAGTCTCAACAGTTTTCTATATCTCGATGCATAACTGAAAGAACTAGCAATCAAAAAGAACAGTGCTGTTCAGGAAAACCTGTTAGATTGATTAAAAGAGATGCTGAATAAAAGCTTTCAAACAGAGACGTCACAACAGAGTACCAATAACGACAGATTGAAGATTACCAGTTCAGAAGGATATTCGTTAGAATTTTTCCACAGGTTTTGAAATGAGAGACTAAGTTATGCAATTTCAACTGGGCAAACAATGCATAAAACGACCCGGTTGAACAGGGCATTCCAATCTCATCACATCTTCGCTTAGCAGCACAATCTTTGGAGTAGCCTCTCCAGGAGTGAGAGTGGATAGTCGAAGGGAGACAGGAGTTGTCTAATCAGTTGGCCTTGTGAGAAGGAGCTTCGTCTGACCTCTACTTATCGACCCTACACAGGCATCATTGGATCTACGGAAATGAAAAGTTAGGCTGTACAGGGTCATGGAGGTACGCAATCCATCACACCACATCCAGGTACAGTCTCGTCGTGAAGTGAATAAAGATTAAACCTGGTACACCACAGGCAGAAAGCAAGACCCACTAGACCACCGGACAGCTGATCAGCTTGTTGCCGTTTGTCTGCAGACATGTTATGTGCAAGCAAGTAACCTCATTTAGAAAAGCGATTTTTATGGTATTGGTATTCTGAGTGAAAAAAAAAACAGATTTTCAATAAAATTGAATACTTAGGTGAGTTGGTGAAGTATATTTTTACCATCACCAATATCTGCAAAACCTTTGTCTATAACAACGGTAGTGGGAGTAACTGTTGAACATATCCACCGGTATTAGCGAGATTCTCCTAAGGAACATGGTAAAGTTCTGCAAGGTTTATTGGATGACAACCAACCAAATCGAATTCGATACGGCTCAGTAACCAAGTTACTATCTCGTATCTGTTTCAATTGTTTTAACAAATTCAAAGAACTAATGGTTATCTCTGAATACATTTTTTTAAAACGGTCCAAAGGTTCTATATGACAAAGGGATTCGGTAACAGTGCGAACGGAGTAGAGTTACGCTGGAAATATTTTGATGACCTACAAAGAGCACTGGACAGCTATTTGGTGCTGTTTGGGACACGTCCTCAGAGCGAGCTCGAAGGTTCGCGGTTGGAGTGGTGACAGGGACACAGAAAGTACGCAATGCTGACGAGTCCCAAACAGGATGAACCAGCTGCCCAGTGTTCTTTGTAGGTCATCACAAATGCTTACATCGCGATTAAATGCATTCAACTAGTAGGCAATCAACGACTTCCAAGCGAGTGAAATCCACATCCAATAGTGCCTGGTGCCTCTGAACAATCGAATGGGCTAATCCAAGCTTGATATTCTAAATTACCGCATTATATTTGCAATATACTGCCTTTCGGACCAGTCTCCTAAGGCAAAACTCCCAACCTGATCTGATAAAATTAATACCAATTGTATATTTCATACGATCGAAATGAGAGACCAATCACCAAAAGCAACCTTGTAAGCGTAAAAATTGGCGAACAAAATTAATTTTAAATGGAAACATGGATGAAATTATTCGGTTAAGTGATGTATTTTTTACTGTTATAAAAAACACTCAACGCAACCACTTCTGAATTAACGTCGGTAATGTCTGAGGTTCCCAAAGAATTCTGAGTCTCGAATATTTTATTGTTTGGATAGGGAAGATTTGAATTAGAAAATAATCAGGAACTTCCGTCGGTTTCAGAGTACGACTTACATTCTACCAGTTGGCGCGTTAGGCCCAATGGACAGCTCTGATCGTCTCGCATTTGGTTCTCCCACCCAACACATGTAATCCACCAGCTAGTGATGTAAGCTATTTGCCCTGTAAGGATTGGTGGTTAAATAAAAAAAGTTCTAGACTGTTGATGTGGCCTTGTGGAATGTACATCCCTGCATGGGATCGACTCCCATCGAGACCCCTGATTCTACCATAATTCAAACGCGAACGATGATTTCCGCTATTTTTTGTCGACGCTGCGTGGTCCCGATGCTCGACAATTGTGACGCAAACAGCTAACGGAGAGAATGAGAGATCGCTATAAAAAGATGATGCAATAACGATGACATAACACGCGGACCATTTCCACTACCACTGAGAGCGTCAGCGCAAGCAAACTCAAAGCGTGAAGACAACATTATGATTAACATTATCGGGAGCTAATTGATTTGGATCGCGAAAGTGTACCGAAACCATAACTCCATATCACAATAAAGCAAACAATCATCCGTCATAACCCCGAGTAACTCCGATAGGCTGTCCCTCTCTCGTGATAGATAGTAGGAAGTTACAAAGCATTAGTCTAACGCTACTTCGAGAAAATAGTTGACCGATGCAAATAACACATTGGCCGAAGGGTGTTTGGGCAGAAACCCGAGCAGATTTATAACACGTGGGTATCTTATTTGATTGAAAATGGACAGCAGGCAGAGAATACATTTGTTTCTGAGTCAGTTCGTAATTGGCACGACCGGAGTCCAGAACTTACCGGAACACCTTGACACACTGATCACATGGAAGTGCTTGGGTGACATGAAGTGCCAAATTGTGTCGCTTCAGTCCCGTATGGGACTGGAAGTGCTGTCGACATGTGAAACACGTGTACTGGCCAGTTCGTACCGGTGCTGGCTGGGATTCTGCGGTGGTTGGATCCGCAGAGTGACCACCGGATTCTGTCGTTGACTGTGTCACTCCATCTTCCGTCTTCACGAACACAGATGTTGGTAGGTCGTTTCGTGTTTGTAATTGGGTTTCTGCCTCCGTGGCGATCGTCGCAGTCGAGGCGGGCCGTGACGGCGATGACGTGTTTGGTGATGGATAGGAGAAGGAAGAGCAGGATGGGGAAGAGTTTGGATTGGATGAAGATGGAACACCCACTGGTGCTAGAGATGGCTTTCGGTCAGCATCCGGACTATTCAAACTGATGGTTGTCTCTTCAGCTATGGTATTCGGTGCTTTATTGTCAAATTTTCCCACAGATTTCTCCAGTGTCTGAGTTGGAGTAGTGAGCAATTCAATTTTGATCGGAATCGAAGGTCCCGTGGAACTGGAAGGAATTTGGGAGTTCGTGGGCACCAGGGGTTTTCCTGTCGTAATGATCACCACATTGGTAACAATCGCCCTAGGTTGACCGGGGGAAAGAGCATTCGATCCTGGTTGTGCTCCACTGGCACACACTGTGAACGCAGTCGTGTCGGCCTTGAGTCGGGACCAGAGTTGTTCGGCTGCATGTTGCAAAACGCTAGTGTCTGGTTTTCGAGTCCCCTCTGACACTGAGGAAAAGATAGGAAAAAAATAGATGAGAAAATGATCTCAAATGCGCGCTTGTCGTCATGACATGGACAGTGTCAAAACGAAACAGCACGAAGAAAGAGTAGCAACTTTCTCGACCTTATTATTGACGGAACGGAAGAAAATCTCGTCAACAAGCACGTACCGAGGAAGAACTGTCGCGGAAACATGTGTCAACGGTTTAGACCCCACCGTGCTTGTGGTTGGATATTGCCATGTCGAACAAAATTTCGTCTAATCCTACTCGGTAATGCTTATGGATTTAGCGTCGAACTTTGCCAGCCGCGCGAGTGCGCACACACACAGACCCTGAAGCCGCGAATGAACTCAAATAGTTCAGTGGTATCTATGATCAGCCGGGTGTGCGAAAATAATATGGACAACTGTCAGATAGTCACGTGCCAAGCGGCTCAATTCGACGATCAGGTCGAAATGAGAACCGGTTTGGACACGTCAACAACAATGATAACAACGACAATAAAAACAATGACAACAACAACGACGAATAAGCGATGAACAGAACAGAACCGTGATTGTGCATCCGGGACGGCATACACGCAGATTGTGCGTATAGAAAAGCATTGCGTAGCTTTACGCATGTGTCACCTTGCCACCAGCCCCAACCATATTAGAAAGGTCAAAAGGTGAATAGCATTGGTCGGGGTTGTGACTCACATAACAAGCGATGTGATATGCGAGTCTGCCTTTTTGTATATCGATCTATCGATCAATCGGCCTACATGTGTGTGTGTGTGTATGCTTGCGTGTAAACATGACTGTTATTCATGAGCGATGAAACAGCTAGTGCATGTCCGATGTGCCAAACCGGCTCCGTTCTGCCCCACTACGTCCCCTAATCAACCAACAAATTCACGAGGTCACACGCGCCTTAGAGAAAGGTGAAGTTAGAGTGCTTGTTTGGTGTACAACAAACACAACATGCCTTCGCAGATGAGTCCCCAAACTACTAAGCGCACACATGAGCACAGAAACACATACATACAGCGGTCCTCGGACCGGCGGTCTCGGTAACAAAGCAATATCGCGAAAATAGTCTGATAATTTTGGAAGGTAATTGAAGAGAGCTGACAAGGATGACGTAAAAAAGATTTATGCTAGCTAGACTGTTTTAATGTTGCCCAAGGTTTCATACAGAATGTGTATATAGAATTGACCAGTTAAAGGAAAGAATGGAGAAATATTTCCCGGGCACACCGAAAACCAAGACCTCCATTGATTGATTTCAGTATGAACATCACTATTCCGTTAAGAAGCTCACAATTTAGCCGGCGGAACAAAACTCATAAATTATCAAAGTAAAGCGAGTGGAATATGCCAATTGGTTACAGCAATCGGGTAATGCAACACTGACGCTGTCGTATACTGATTGACCAGACCAACTATAACATATGCTGCTGTCGCAGCCATGGACGCTCCAAGGTGGGCTATAGGGTAGTACCCAACTTGAATATAACGGCATGTTCATCTGTCACCGCAATCTTGAAGTATGAATGTCATATAAAGATTAATCGAGGCGCTTTCAATGGATTTCCATCAAGCTGATACACGTTAATCGCTACTGAGCAACCAGTTGGTTTTTACCGTTGACAATACGCCCGTTCATCAGAGGGCTTTGGATGCGCAGTTACATGACAACCACAAAATTCGATTTCTTACACCATAGTCCCTTTGTAACCCCCTATAAAAGAACTTCAGTAAATTCAAACAGGTAAGTGCTTTTAATTTTTTAGTTTGCATACTATTTAGCACATTGAACACTGGTTCACTGAAAACATTGAAGCCATACGAGATGTGCCAAATGGTTTAACAATACGGGGGCACATTGTTTAAACCTTCTCCAACCAATATGTGATGCGACATCTGATACCATTACGACGGTCAACTGCGCATCATCATACGATCACCCTACCATCTCATTTCTTAACCAAGCTTTGAGACATCCACATTTGCAGAAAATGAAACGTTTCAACATTCGCTGTCCTCAGAATATTCCGATACTTTTTGATCTGACTCGCCTAGAGCAATATGACTAATGTTGTGCGTCGAGGCTAAAGGATTACGGGTTGAAGCTAAAGGTTTGCGGGTTTTGTCTAAAGCTTGATGAGAAAAGGTTCAGTGCTTCGAAAGAGAACTGGAACAAAATGTCTCAGAGAATACACTTCCCACAGGGACATGAGTTGAATTGTTTTCATGAAACTTACATTCAGGTAAGTTGTGTTCAGAATACTCATTAGCAGACTTACTCAATTAGTCCCTTGGTTATATCAACCAGCAACACTAAACCACTTCACCAACCAGGCTTCTTACTAACTGTTTTAGGTCAAACTAAAAGAGTGTTTGATTGTTGAATCCAACAATCGATTGATTTCTGGATATTCCACGTTCAAATGGTAGCACCCATTCGGACGGAATTTTTCAAGAATTCGGTAACACATTACGGAGTGAAAAAGATGCGACTGCAGTTCTTTGACACCTGAGTGCGACGAATGTCAAGTGACAAAATTGATCACAACTCACAAAACTCATTCATTCATTCACGTTCCAGCTGAGTGGTTCCGAAGTAAGATTTCGAGAAGTATGCAAAAAATCAAGCATTTCAATTCCCAAAAGCGAAAACCGACCGATTCAACTGCGAAGAAATGCATGTTTCCGGAAAACGAAGACCTGAAATGATCAGTCAGACCCACTGCGTTTTGTAATCCTATGTTCAGCACACCTTGCAAAAACAGAGACCCGCGATCTGCTCGTATCGCCCAACAAAATGCGTAAAGAAAAATCGGGTGGTCGGATTAATCACTGGCTGATTATCTCGGAGGCCAACATCTAAGCAAACATGAATAGGTGATTCTGGTCACCTCCGGTATGATCTGGTAGGCAGTGGTAGGGAGCTTCCCGACTTTTCAATCCCAGATAGCATAGAGGATAGGCACTACTGATGAGCTATGATGAGACCGAAACTTGAATCTAATGCTTCCTAAGTGTGTAGTTGATTGGACGAGGATTGTGCAAATGAAGCCACGATGAAAAACACGTATCCCACAGACCTACTGGCAAATGCAAATGACAAATCAATAATGTCTGGTAAATTCATAATAATTGATAGTTCAACAAACCCTGGGGGAGATTAGACAGTTCAAGTGTAACACAAGTGTAAAGTTCAGAAACAGAATGCCAATAGTCTAAAGGGAGAACTGGATTCCAATTGGTTGACTTATTTGATGTTGGCCAAATTTGTTCACTTTTATACACTGGAGAGCGCAAACCCGCGATGAATTCTAAAGGAATCAAAAATTAAATATGTAAAATCTGTACAACTACCACTGGGCTCATTCCATAGAGCGTATAAAGAAAAGGAAATGAAAAACGGCCCCAAAGTCCTACCTGGAGAGCGAACTGGGAGCTTGATGTCGCATCCTGATCAGGAACGTAGATTGAGGATATTTTGTTATATGCGACGACCAAATTTATTTAGGTAGGTGTAGGGGTCGACAAAGGTATGTGAGAAGACTGTGGTTAGATTCGCGGAGATTCAAAAACCGGCTTATTGGAAGCCGGTGACAGTGTACGTACTGGTTTCGAAACATCCAGTAGTTGTTTTGGAACAAAGCCAACTTTGAGGTTGTTGGTTCTGATGTTATCTTTGCGACCAGTGAGAAGGATTACACAATATTTATCTGTGTGTATTACAACCGTTGTGGAGCAAGCTAAGAGTGTCTAAACAGTGGCCACATGGATGAAAACTGAGTCGCAAGTGTTTGAATTGGGGCTCATTTGTGTTGACACAAGAGACAATACCATGGAGTTGCAAAACTGATATTGCGCACATATTAACGGAGACGTGAAGCGTAGTTGAAGGCTCTATTTCATCCGATTTTCCAAAACCAATGATGATTTTTATGCGGAAAAATTAGGGAAGTACCCAAACC